GCTTCAAAGAATATATACTTAATCTTCTGTTTTTGAAACTTTATATTAATAGACTTTCTAATTTAAGATACTATTCTAATAACTACTCAAGAATTGAATCTAACAGCAACAAATGCTACTGAATTTATTTCAACTTTCAAATATCTTCATATCTAATAAGAAGTTTTTCTAGAAATAATTACCTTTGCAACATTAGCTTAATTTGACAAATACTTAAACAAAATCAAATATACACTACTAATTCAACACCTAATCATAAAATTAATATACTAGCTACTTTCTCATCAAATCACTCATACAATAGATTTTCCTGTTTTAGCTTCACTTCTAATAATACCTACTTCTACTACTATTCCTCTTTTATATTCATATATTATAAACAAATTATAACAATATATAAATATTAGATATAGTTCTCTTATATTAATATATAAAGACTAGTAGTCTATGACCTTGCTAGCACAGCCTAGGTTGAGAGTAAATTAGCTCTTACTTCTACATCTCCTTCTTTCTTTTAAATATATTTATATTTCTATTACATATATCATTTTATTTAAATTAAATAAAAAGTTAGAGGATAGACCTCATTGCTTAAAAAAAAAAAAAAAAAAAAAAATTATAAGAAATAAATTTATTCTACTACTAAATTCTTATTATAGGCTAGTGCAAAAAGATAGATACCTCAAATATTAGTTAATAAAATTTTTTAAAAAAAATAATTTTAAATTTTATTTATATATTTTGAAACTTCATACAATAGGAAATATTTTAATATAAATTCTATTAAAAATTTATTAGTCAGATTCATCATCACTAACTAAGATAATTTCATTATCTAATTCATCATCTATTAAAAGCATATAATCTTCTGATTTCTTATAATCTCTTGCAATATTGACAGTTTTTCTTCACAAACTAGTAATAGCTTGTGAGCTTACCTTTTCTACAAAGGCATAAAGAAGTTTATTTCTAATTTCAAGTAAATTATTATGTGGACCTGATACTGAAACTTCATTTTTTACTAGCAATAATAAGAAGAGGTATAAAAAATTCTATGACCATAATGTTTAGCTATTTCTATATAAGCAAAAAGAACTTTTTCTTTATATCTTTTTACAATTTCTAAAAGTTTAGATTTATATACTTTTTCTGAAACAAAAATTTGTTTGTTTTCTAACCATTCGATTATTTTAGCTTTTTTTGATGATGTTATAGGAACCTTTTCATTTTATCACTTATAATATCTGGCTCCGTTCATATGAAAATCTACTTCACTATATTTTTCTTTAACAGTTTTACAAAGTTTTTTGAATAGTGATCAGAATTAAAGTTGCCATGATAGTCATTTTGATTGGGAGTAATATTTGAATTTTTTATAAAATTCAGAATATCATTCCATTCTTCTGCATTGCATCACTTATATCTTTTATTTGATAGTTCATGAATTTTTGGATCTCATAGATAAACTGAATTTGGAACTTATTCACCTTCTAATTTATTAGTATTACAGTTCCAAAAGACAATAATAGTATCAAAAATTATAATTAATAGTTTATGTCCTAATTCTAAAACAACACCTTTGTGAGGAACCCAGGTTTTATTTGTGGTATGGTGAAGATGACAATATAACTCATCTAAAAATACTTCAGGATGTTTAGGTACATGGTTTTTTCCTTGTAAATTTGATAGTCTATTTTGAAGATATTGATAACGATATGCAACATTATTAGGAAATTTATGTAAAAGATTTCTTCTTTCTCTCTGACCAAAATAATACCTCAGGAAATGTAGCAAATGAAGAAGTTGCTACTTAGAAACCTCATGTCCTTTTGTGAGAAGGTATTGACGTAATACTGTAATAGACAAAGGTTGTCTTGCTTTGTTTGATTCCAAGACTTTTTTATGAATAATCATGATAAAATTAGGATTAGGTTGAATTTTGGGTCAACCAATAATTTTATTTGGCCTAAAAGTTTTGTCACTGCTTTGGTTCTATTCTTGGATAACTCGCCCAACTGTACTTTCTGA